TAATTTTGTAGTTACCTATTTCTGGTCAGGCATCATATCTTGATTTGCTTAGGGCGGCTATGAACAATCAGAAACATAATGATTTGAAAAACCCATGCCCTGCCCAAGTTTAGTTTAGCTCGAAAAAGCAGCACTTGAAGTTCAGTGCACCATTGATGAATTTTTCACCTGTTCTGAGAAGAAACGTGTTTTGTGCCTTTCAAAATCATCCTTTAAATTACAGCCTCAGGACTTTCCTGGTTCCAGCACTGAAAGTCCCATGCTCCCGGGAACCCCTCAGTCCCGGGGAAGGCGGCATGGTCTGTCACTCCCCTGTGGGGACATTTACGAAACCATCATACTTCAGGGACATTTAAGGATGACCTCGTCGCTTATGTTCTTAGCTGGGCTTGGGAGTGTTTTTTCAAGTTTTTCCCTACAAGCCTCAGCAGGCTTTTTGATTTTGCCCAGGAGAACAGACCGGTCCTGTTTGCAAGGGTGTGCCCATCGGAAAGGCCACACTCCTATTCGCTGGATGGCAGCCAGCGGCATTTGCATGCAATGCCTGGACCATATCCTGGTGAGGAAGGGAAGGGTGCTGGTGATTCACACCTTGAGCCCACACAGCCTGTTTTTTCTAGCTTGCTGTGTACTCTCAAAACCAAGCCATAGCAATTGTTGAAGCCAAGCTGGGGGTTGGGGGGGACAAAAAACTTGATTAAAGTCAAAACCCATTTTGCAAAGACAAAAACTTACTCTAGGAAAACTGGGAAAGAAGGGTACTTTCTCAATATCATGAAGACTCTTCAGTGAACTTCTCGTGTTGTGTCTTAACACTGAGATATTAGACTTAATCCTGCTAATTTGAGGAAAAAAAGAGATAAGACTCTCTACCAGCACCATTACGATTTAATAAGGCTCTGGAAGCTTCGGAGCTACTCAGTCACAGCTGTCGGAGAGGAGGAAAAATTATTTATTTGTAGGTAATACGGTACTAAAAGCAAACCCTACAATGGCCGCATCCAGCTTTGGGTGGTGATGTTGATTGAAGGAGGATGGAGGGCACAGGATTTGTCCAGAAGCTGTGCTTACCGTGCACGCATGTAGGTTTTAGCTTCTGTGTGTGTTTGGCATGATTTGGAGTTGAGGCTCAACAGATTATAGTAAGGAAGCGAAAGCCACCTTCACCTCTCTCTGTGCTAAGCGTATCAACCAAAACCTCTTAGTAAGTGGCTGGATATAAAATCACTCTGCGAAGATCACTCACTTTATTGCATGAAAGCAATAACCAGATAGAATGGGGGAAATATCCCCTTCCTAGGAGAAATATCCCCTTCCTAGGAAATATCCCCTCCCCGTATATCTCAGAGGAAAAAGTTATGCCCCTTTAAACACAGTAATCCTACTTCTAGAAGTCTAAATAATTTTCTGGAAAAAAAAAAACCAAAGTAAGAACAAAGGCTTACTGTACAAATGTTTATTCCAATTTTAAAAAGTTGGAAAAAAGGGGAACAAAGTAAGTGTCCAAAATAATAGGGGAATCATTATGTGTCTGGAAATGACATATAAGGAAGTTCTATATTTGGAAGATGGCATATTCAACATCATTTATAAAAGCAAATATTGGAAATAATTTACATTTTCCTTGATCATGGGCTGCTTAAATCAGGGCTTCTCAACCTGGGCCCTAGTAATATTTTGAGAGGATACCTGCTGTGGGGGCTGTCCTGTACATTGTAGGGTGTTGAGCAGCATCCCCGGGCTCTACTCACTAGAGGCCTGCAGCTCCCCCCACTTCCAGTGGTGACAACAAAAAATATCTCCAGATATTGCCTGCTTTGGGGGAGTGGGGCCACCCAATGGCCCCCAGATGAGAACTAGTGGTTTAAACACATGTGTCCATACAAGGACATATACATGACATACTACATAGTAATTAAGAAGAATGCCACAGCTTGATCCATTCTAATCTAGAATAATCTCCATGATAGTTGGAAAGTGACAGAATTATTGTGGCATAGTGTAGGATTTATATAAGAAACAAAAAACTATACCTTTATTCTTTTTAATTTTTTTATTGCATTTTTTTAAGGACTTATTTATTTATTTGAGAGAGAGGGTGTGCTCGCAAGCCTGCTTGGTGGGGGGCAGGGAAAGGGGAGAGGGCGAGGGAGATTGAGAATCCCAAGCAGACTCGTCTTGAGCTGAGCCCAGAGCCCACCTCGGGGCTCGATCTCACGACCCCGAGATCATGACCTGAGCCGAAATCAAGAGTCAGACACTCAACAGACTCCCAACTGTGCCACCCAGGAGCCCCTACCTTTATTTTTAAAAAATGGTTTATTGGGCGCCTGGGTGGCTCAGTTGGTTAAGCGACTGCCTTCGGCTCAGGTCATGATCCTGGAGTCCCGGGATCGAGCCCCACATCGGGCTCCCTGCTCAGCGGGGAGTCTGCTTCTCCCTCTGACCCTCCCCCCTCTCATGTACTCTCTCTCATTCTCGCTCTCTCTCAAATAAATAAATAAAATCTTTAAAAAAAAAAAAAAGACTACAGGAAATAAAAGGCATCTCAATAGTGCAGAAAAAGCATTCAATAAAATTCAACAACTGTGTATATTCAAAAAATTAGTAAACTAGAAATGGAAGGGGAATTCTTTTATCTTATGAAGGGAATCTGCAGAAAGCCTGCATTAAACAACCTGTGTGCTGGTCAATCTTGAAAAAGCAATCTATATAAAATCCGGGAGAAAACAAGGACATCTATTACTGTCATTTCTACTCAGCATTGTTGTAGACGCGCTAGCTTGCAAAAAAACAAGAAGAAGAAACAGAACGTGTAAAGATTGAAAATGAAGGGGCGCCTGGGTGGCTCAGTCGTTAGGCGTCTGCCTTCGGCTCAGGTCATGATCCCAGGGTCCTGGGATGGAGCCCCGCGTCGGGCTTCCTGCTCCGCGGGGAGCCTGCTTCTCCCTCTCCCACTCCCCCTGCTTGTGTTCCTCTCTCGCTGTGTCTCTCTGTCAAATAAATAAAATCTTAAAAAAAAAAAAAAAGAAAATGAAGGGGAAAGCCCATTATTTGCTGATGGGTGTTAGTTGGAATATTATCCCCAAATATTAACTGCCCACCCCCCCATGGGATTATACACTCCCCCCCCCACTTTTAGGTACATTACCTGTGAGTCCCATAGGCAGGGTTTAAGTGCCCTCCTCCTGCCTTGGGCTTGGCCATGTCACATGGTGTGACCAATGGGACATGTTAATGTGATTGTGCACTATTGGCTTGGCTTCCATTTGCTCCTGTCCTTGGTTATGAGCATGTCCTAGATAGTGGCCACTGTTTCAGCTTGGGTTGGAGAATGAGAAGCCATGTGGAGGCCAGCAAAACCCAGAAAAATGGCAGCCTGCCACAGTTTTAATCTAATGCAAGCAAAAGTAATTTGTGAACTGCTGGGCAAAAGCTTATTGATAAATACACGGGTGATCTGAATGTCCACAAAGAAAACCCAAAAGAAGCTACAGATAGATTATTAAAATTAATAAGAGCTTAGCAATGTTCAAAAATCACTTTTCTATTCACATTTTTTAATCCCTAGTAGCATATACTGTTCAAGAACATAATTTAAAAATCCTATTTACAATGTCATTAAAACTGTTAGCTACAAAACCTTTAAAATATATATATACAAAGTCTTTATGGAGAAAATTACAAATCCTAGTGAAAGACATTTTAAAAGCCCCAAATAGATGGAGATAACTATGTTTATGTATAGGAAACCTCAATATTATATGAATATCAACCTTCCCTAGGGGCACCTGGGTGGATCAGTCAGTTAAGCATCCCATTCTTGATTTCAGCTCAGGTCATGCTCTCAGGGTCATGGGATGGAGCCCCGGCCTGCTTAAGATTCTCTTTCCCTCTCCCTCTGCCCCTCTCCCCATGTTCATGTGCGCGTGCTCTCTCTCTCAAAAAAAAGGCCAGTCTTTCCCAGTTGGTCCATGGACTCAAAGTGATTCCAATCAGAAGTCCCAACATTTTTATTTCTATAAGCTTTTAAATTTAATAAAATTTTTATAGAATAACAAATGGCCGAGAATAACCAAGACACGCTGATGACTGCCTGATCTGTTTCTGCCTCTCATTTGAGCTCGAGATTTATCTTCAGTTGCCTTCGACTTCTTGTACAATATACTGGACACTAACGATACATACATAGTTAAAACAGATAACAGATAACATTTATGTAGATATCTCGAAGTCAGCGTGACCTAAAATGACTACCTAAAATAGCTATTTCAGGGCTGCGGCTTCTGTTAGATTCCTTGTGCTTCTGGATGCTGCTCCCATCTTCCTAGGCACCACAGCTAGAGATCTGGGGGGCATCCAGTGCTCTTCCTGTTTCTCATTCTCCATCTCTACTGCTGTTGCCTAAGTGGACCTGTGTTTTTGCCTGGACTAGTGAAAGTGCCTTCTGAATACTCTTTGTCTCCTGTCTCTTCCTTCTCCCAACCATCTTCCCACTTGAATGCTGAGTGATCTTTCTAAATCTGATCTTCTTAACCTCTGATTAAAACCAGTCACCTTCAGGATAAAACCCCAACTCCTCTAAGATTCGGCCTCTATCCTCAGCCCATCTCCCATCGTAATTTCATGTGTATCTTTGCCCAGATGGAGTAGTCTAACATATGTGTTAAATTGTCTTCCTCCAGAACGTTTATGATAATGCAATCACTGATTTTTTGCATCTGTTCAGGATAGACAGTATCTTGTTTGTGCTTAACCGTTCAGATCTTAGATGATCATGAAATGTTTTTCCTCTCTTTGTACTTCTTATAAAATCAGCTCTTTAACTTAGCCGGTGTGTGTGTGTAAGTAGTTCTTTCCTGAAAGTAATTTGCACTGCAAAAGTTTCTCATTAGCTATGTCGTTTTCAGTGAGTTTTGCTAGATCTGTCCATGAATATTAGCTGCTATAGTGTGGTTTAAAAGGCATGTCTAATCTGCTGGATTTAATTTTTATTTCAGTTAAAAAATCTGGATCCATTTTTACTGTTTGATGAATTTAAAGGAGGTAGACCAGGTGGATTTCCTGATCACCCACATCGAGGTTTTGAGACAGTAAGTAAAATAATTTGACTGCAGAAGTGAGTATTTTTGAATTTGCCTGTTATTACATCTAGTAATCATTTCTTTTTTTGGTAAAGATTTATCTATTTGAGAGAGAGCGTGCACAAGTGGGGGGGTGCAGAGGGAGAGAAACTCTCAACCAGACTCTGAGCTGAGCACGGAGCTGTCTCGGGGCTCCATCTCATGACCCTGAGATCACAACCTGAGCCAAAACCAAGAGTTGGACGCTCAACCGACTGTGCTACCCAGGCGCCTCAAAATTTAATACTCACTTCTTTTTTTAAATATTTATTTATTTAAGTAATCTCTACACCCAATATAGGGCTCAAACTCACGACCCCGAGATCAAGAGTCGCATAGTCTTCCGACTGAGCCAGCCAGGTGCCTGTAGTAATCACTTCTAATAGAAAACTCAAAGTTAGAAACAGTGAATGATAGTTAAATTAATGTATAAGTTCTTAGTTATAGACTAGCTACTATGGCAAGCCGCATACTTTACATGAAGTATATTCAAATTTAAATATTTACTGTTTTTAATATTCTTTGAATTTGTGCCACTGGAGACATTTTTATTTGAGCAGTTAGTAAAGAACAAGAATTGGCTTCTGGGCCACCTGGGTGGCTCTGTCAGTTGGGCATTGGACTCTTGATTTCGGCTCAGGTCATGATCTCAGGGTTGTGGGATGGAACCCCATGTGGGGCTCATGTGCTGGGCATGGAGTCTGCCTGGGATTCACTTTCTCCCTCTCCTTCTGCCCCTCCCCCACCTCTAAAAAGAATAAATAAAAAAAGAGTGGGCTTCTTAAAATATTTATATAATTAAAATAATTTCTTTTTTTTTTAAAGTCAAGTTTATTTATTTATTTTTAAAGATTTTATTTATTTGACAGAGAGAAACACAGAGAGGAACACAGAAAGAGGGAACACAAGCAGGGGGAGTGGGAGAGGGAGAAGCAGGCTTCCCGC